ATATATATATATAATATTAAATTGAAAAATAATAACAGTAAAATATTTCATTGTATTAATTCTAATTCTAAATTATGAAAATGTCAAACACAACGCACTAAATACACAGTAATTACTCGACAGCAATAAATGCACTTGTTTTTAATTTTATGTAGCTTTTAAAACACAATCAGTATATAATGGAGAGTACATAAAGGCTAGTGTAAGCATTATATGCTATAAAGCATTAATTGTAATTATTCTTTATGTAACCTAAAGAATTGTATAAAAATTTGGTGTGTATGGAAAATTTTAGCTGTTGTAGCTATGGCAACTTGGAAGACACAATATTGTCATTAATATTGATGACAAAGCTCTCAACCGTAAAGTAACAAACCATAATTTTGCTAACAACTATAAAAACACTAATGGGCGATATTCAAGTTTATTAACTGTACACTGACAGAGACAGACATGTCTTAAACTAAACACTAATCAGTGTGTATAAAGCCAAATATTTATCCTGTGGGGGTGGGTGTGTCACTCAGAATATGCCATTGTGAGTGTAACCATAAAGCAGGCGAGGGGACTGAGGTTATTATTAATTATTAGAAAATAAATAGTTTTTTATCATTATTAATAACATTATATTCTTTTCTATATTTGTGTTATGACTAGATTGATGGAACCAGCAGTTTCTCCGTGTCCATGAGGGAATTCTCATATTTTTACGATGGAATGGGTTTCTATGTTGTTGCCATGGTAACGGAGTCACTGACTGGAATTGAACAAAACTCAACCGCTTCAACTGCATACTATAAAAAACCTGTGAAAGTGGAAATTTTACATGCAAGTCCAAGGACCTTTAAACCTGGTCTCATGTATACTGCTTATGTAAGTTTTAAAAAAAAATATATATAGAAATAATGTTACAAATTTTTCTGAGTGGTTCAGCCTTATGTACTTCATATTTGACGGCTTTGGCCCGAGACAGATGGGGACTACTCATATTTACAACTTCTCCACTAAATGTCCTGTTTTGTCATGCGGAGCCAGGATGGCGCCATCTAGTCCACAAAGACGGGGGGGGGGGGGGGGGGTGGTGAGATAGGTCAGTACATTGTGTCCAATCCAATGCCATCCCAACTTTGACTTATAAGTCTCAATTTGCCAATTTGAGGGTTAACAACCTACTCACCTTGAAAGTACAGTCACTGGATTCTTTATAGTGCACATGAGCCAGTCTATTTCGTGAATACTTACCTGGATAAACCGACTAATTGCCATTGTTCCCAAACGGAACACCCCTTCGAAATAAATGGAACAGTCCAACCCAGGGCGCCACATACAAACCGTCTCCCTCGCCACGTACGAATCGTCTCCCTAACAAACGTCCTCATTCCCTTTTCGACCTTCGTTTTAAGGTGAACCTCGAAAAGGGAATGAGGACGTTTGTTAGGGAGACGGTTCGTACGTGGCGCCCTGGGTCGGACTGTTCCATTTATTTCGAAGGGGTGTTCCGTTTCGGAACAATGGCAATTGGTTTATACAGGTAAGTATCTCACTCATAGACTACCAACATCACGATTTATTTTTTGTAATTTAGTACATGCCTGCAGTTTATAGTCCTTATCAGAGAAGACCTGTTCCACCTCCAGAACCATAGGTGGGCGTGCCATTCCGACCAATGCCAATAATATGCCTGTAGGTTGTGGCGTCCCCGCTCCTAACTGCTCAGACATTCGACTCATTAAAACCACATGCACTGATGCAACTTCTAGGCTTGTAATTCAGTCATTATATTTTGATTACTTCATAGATTGCAGTTACGAAACAAGATGGTACACCACTGTCATACGCAGAGAGGAGAATGCCTTTGCTTGTCAGGCGCTCCAGTGAAATGAGTCCAACAAGGATTGAAATTCCAACCAGTGGGGTTGTAACATACACATTTGAAACAATGAGTGCTGATTCTTTGTTCAACATAGAGGTAAATTTGGCAAAAAGAGGCAATTATTTTTGCCATCTTTGTTATTGTAGTCGTGTTTGATACTCTTCTTAATGTTGGTTGGAACAAAATATAATAATGTGAATATGTTCTCATATATTTTAATATGAAAAATTAGATCAATTTAAATCAATAAATTCTCAACAGGCATGGTACTACCCAGGAGATCAGGAACAATATCGCAGTACCAACATTTATGTAGAAAAAGCCGAGTCACCGAGCAACTCATTCATACAAATTGGGTTGGATACTTCGGATTTGTCAGCAGGAAATGTCGCAACATTCACGCTTCGATCTACAGAAATCCCTCCGTACATTGTTTATCTGGTAAGGTATTAATATTCTTTGAGCCAATTTTATTATATTTACAGGTACTTTAGTTTTATTATTGTTGACATTGTTGTTTATATTGACATTGTTGTTGTTTGCTGTTCTCTGATGTTGGTCATGTGATAGTGTCCCTGCTTGCAGGTTCTGTTGCTGCTGGTATCCCTGCTTGCTGGCTCTCATGATTCTGCTGCTGACACCTCTGTTGCTGGTGTTGCATTGCCACAACCACAGACTTCCCTGTTTGCTGGCTTTGCCTTTGGTGCCACTGCTGCTAATCCTGCTGATGCCAGCACCTCTACTACCGGTGCTGGTATTGCCTTGATACTGCCACTGACTCTTCCCAATTTCTTGTTCCACTGCTGCTGATGCCGTTTGCTGCTGGCGGAGCTGGTGTCGTCTTGATGCCGACTCCCCTTCTTGCTTGTTGTGCTGCCGCTGGTGCCACAGCTGCTAGCTCTGCTGATGCTGGTACTCCTGCTGCCGTTGCTGGTGTTGCTTTGTCACTGCTGCTACTACCAATACTCCCGATGCTGTTGCTGATCTCTCTGCTAGTGTTGCTGTTGACCTGTTGTTTCTACTGTTGTTATTTATTTATTAATTTCTTTACTATTCATAGTAATATAGTAATTATTATTAACATTATTATTATTATTAATTTGTTTATATCTTTATTATGTTTTAATTTTACCTAATAGATCATATCAAAAAGCAGAATTGTTGCTATGAAAACCATCCGTGGTCTGACATCCACCCAAAATTTCTTTTCCGTTGACGTTACTTCAGATATGGCACCATTTTCCAAATTGGTGGCGTATTACGTTCGCGAAGATAAAGAAGTTGTTGTTGATGTGTTTAAATTTAATGTTGATGGTGCTTTTAAGAATCAGGTGAATATTTTGTACACTTTTTATTTTGAAAAAAAAAAAAATTTATTTCTTTTTTTTTCATTTAGTAAATTTGACATATTGAAATAGATGGCTATTAACTTGTACTTGTACATTCCGTACCCTTTTTTTTTTCTTATATTGGTTTGGAACAGAAAGTGTACTTTATATATGAGAGATATTATGGCAAAATGGTTAAGTTGCCTCACAGGCCAATATTGGGTAAATGAGCTCTGAAATATGTTTGATAAAAAAATGGCCTAAAAATCACTATATATTTTATTTATTTATTTAAAACCATGTTTTGAGTGGGCGACCCTTACAGAAAAAATTTGATGTTCAGGGGCCCACTGAAATACAAATATATAAAAAGTATATAAAAATAACCGATCTATCAATTAATCATAAAATTTAAAACAGCAAAGATTAAAATTCTAAAAATATAAAATATAAAATAAGGAAAAGAAAGCAAAAGAAAGAAAACAGACAAAACAGACAATGTACAAACAAACACACCCCCGCACACCCCCCACACACACACACAAACACCCGAACCCAAACAGGAAAGAAGGAAAAGGGGAAAATAAATTCTTGCTTAAAATGTATCAACAATTTAATATCCAATTCATCATGTCCAAAAATCTTGGTTCTGGAAATTGTCCACAAACCAGTTATTTTGGTAGTATGTATGCAAAAATAACTTTTTGTTAGAGAGGCAATTACTGTACTCGGCTTCCCAATAACTAATGCTTGAAATATCCAATTTTAATGAATGACCCCTCATTTAAAGATCATGTCCTCAAGTATCTGAAAATAATAAATAACTTAGATTTCAATTTTCTTACAACTTTGGCATTTTGCAAAAACATCTATTATAAATTTATATGATAATTCCTTAAGTTTGATAAACCAGAATATTGAAAAAAGTGCATTGAAATTTAGCATGTTCCACTAGGATCTTTTGTTCGTGGTTTGTACCAATTTTATCATGTTTAAAAGAAAGCAGTATTGTTGCTTAGAAATTAATTTGTTTAAAGTTGCAGCTCCTAAAATATGGAACAGCTCCCTAAACCTCATATTGAGATTTAGTTTGTGAAGATCATTTTGTGTGTGTTGTGTGTTCGTGTTGTGATAGGAATTGCTGCCTAAAAGTACAGGATATTTTCACTATTAACAATCCCAATTGGTGCATGTCTTGTGTGCCAAAAAGAAAAAAGAAATGATTTAGGGATAGAGCACAAAAAAAATACCTATCAATTTTAACTGAAAATTAAATTACTTTAATCTACATTGTAAACCAATTAATACTCATTGACTGGTACTATCATACAAAGTAAAACTTCTGCATATAATTGAATTGTTTCATTTATTTATACCAATCAATATTTTTCTATTCAGGTTAGTCTATCATTCAGTAATGAGGTCGTTGAACCCGATGACAACATTACTGTTGACGTTACAGCAACCGGAGGATCCCTTGTTTACATTTTAGCAGTCGATCAGAGTGTTTTACTCCTAAAATCTGGCAACGACATCACTCAACAAAAGGTAAGGACTTTTTTTAAGAATAACAAGAACAGTCATTCTATAGATTACATACATCTAACCTGCGCCTGAATACCGAACAGTAGGCAGGACGTGTATAATGGAGGATTTCATATTTTCCACCCTGTGCCTGTAATTTGCGGCGAGCGATTGTGCTCGCACACCATCACCCACCTAAAATCTTCTTTCAGGGCTGGGAAAATCACTCACCTTAAATCTATCTAAGATGTACTTTGATGACTGTGGTAGTAACTATGTGTATATAGCTATTCCACAGAAGTTTAAATTTCTTCCTCCCCAAAGTAATCACTTGCCTAAACAAAATTGGGAGTGTGTTTTTTTAGATCACCTAGCATTTTCAAATAACAAGCCCTGTAATAATGACAATAACAATAATCACATAAAACTTTCTAAAGTATATGTAATGTAATGTAGTTAGAGTCATATAGCACTTTATACCGAAACAGTCTTGGGGTGAGGACTAGCTCTTACACAGCAACTTGCTTATCCCCTAAGGGTCTCTCTGCGTCTAAACTATTTGGTGAACCTGTACTAGCTACTCTCCTCTGTCCACAACAATGGCTGAATGGACCAGTGCACCGGGTTACCCTTACTTGTCTTGAAAGATGTACTGGATGCACATTAGCTTATCTGAGAAGAATTGTTCCACAACTAGAACCATAGTCAAGTGTCCTGATAATATGGCTGTACGTTGCAGCGCCCCTGCCTGCCTTAACTGCTTTGCCATCCAACTTGCTTATGTCTTTATATTTGGTAAGATATAAAGACATTAGTTCAAGACAGTTAAATTTTACGGATTATAACGCTCAACTCATGTTTTTTAGGTTCTCAGAGAATTAGAAACGTTTGATGGAAGCGAAGATGAGGGTGTAATTGATGGTCCCATATTTTTCGATTCGTTCTTTCCAATCCCAACTACAGGTACAACTGCTGAAGATATCTTTGATGTAAGTATGTAGTGTCAGTGATACAAATTCGATGTTTGTATTTACATTAATATGAAAGGTATATTTCTGATTTGTTTTGAGGTTTCACCACTTGGGATCCAAAAATATATGCCAAATCACTTACAGCAAAGATTCATAACTATGTGTTATGGTTTTTTAGAACAATGTCCAGAACAGTGAGCTCACTTTACTTCAAGACACCCTTTTTCCACCTTTCCCCCAGTTTTTAAATATTCAAATATCTGTATCTCATTATTCCGTTCCCAAGTTTTTCGTCAAGCACATTTTTATGTTTTAACACATTATCTATAAAATATACATGATAACTAAGTTGTTTTTAATGAAAATAAAAAGATGTTGAGTTTTATATAACTTGCATTTTTTTTTTAGAATACTCGTGTTTTGGTGTTAACTGATGCTGAGATATATGGTAGAGAGAATGACTATTTTTTTGGTAAGTTTTCAAATATTCTCATGGTTTTATTCCATTCTCTGTTTGAAGATTTGTAGATTTTATTTGGAATCACTTTAAAATCAGCAGCACACATCAATTTGATAGTGCATCCTTATACAAAAAAAAAAACCATATACATCAGTCAAAACAATAATATTTTGGGATGGTGCATTCATTGAGTTGTATAATGCAGGTCTTTTTTTCCAAGCCAAAGTGAGATATATTTTTGCAATATTGGTCAAAAATACAAAGATCATCTTATAATTCCTTGAATACATTATCTCTATTATCTTGTAGGCTACTTACAATGAAAAATGAAGTGGTGAATTGTTTTATTTAAAGGTTTACAGTTGCATAATTTACATATCCCTGAGTTTTGGTTAGATCAAGATTCTTTACGGTCCTCTAAATCAAGAGTGTTTGATCTAGCTTTAAATTTTATATTCACTCAAGGGAAATTATTCTTGTCTAATAAATATTGTTTGAGTTTAGGTTCGCATTTATACCTTATGTAAAGTGGTTCGATTTATATAGCGAAGTGTGGACTAGCCCGCGCAGTAACTTTCTTCTCTCCTAAGGGTCTCTTGATGTCTGAGCAACCTGGTAAACCTGTACTAGCTGTCTCTTATTTTTCCACAACAGGGGCTGTATGAACCAGTACAACAGGGTAACACCCTACTCTTCTCCTACTCTACCTAAACATCACTGAACCACTAATAGTTCAGTGTGGCTGATCATGTGTATTGGAAGCCCAACACCTTAACCACTGTAACACAGCTTTGTACATGCTTATGTATAATTGACTGGTGTACCTATGAGAGGGCGTGGGTGTGCATGTCCTTCCGAAAAATCTTGCATACTCTCGGGTGTCCCTTATATTTTAAAATAGCCAAAGTCCGTACTTACCGTGATATTTATCCATTTTCTGTGTGGGCTATTGAACAACCCTGTGTGCTGTGTGTATAGTATGAGCACTTGACTTTAAGTGACATTCTTTCTCCGAGGGCTTCCCAGGGTCGTCCTTTCAGTGCGCATGCCAGTGAATGCCCAGGTCTGCGCGGATGAGCTAACCCGGGGAATACAGGATCATTGCAGTGTGACCTCCAGGGTGTCATCACTACACCTACTTGGAAATTTTTTGAGCCACAAAAATAATGCTCAAGTAGTTAGAATTACCTTTATTCTCCTTACAGTAATTTGATAGCGTTCACTCACTGAATCAATCCGCTTCACTTAACCTTCTCTCCTTTATCCGCCCCTCTCAGCATGTCAATATTCTTGTATAATATGCCAAGTGGTAGAATGTCACAACTAATTAATTGTGTAAACAATATATATTTTACTCTTATTTTGTTGTGTATTATACAGAGGATAGAGTTTTTCCTGCTGTAGTAGCTGAAGCTGCTGGTGACTATGCATATGCAATGGATGACGCATTTGATGGTGGTGATATTGACAGGCAACTGGAATCAGGGGAGCCAGCTTTAGATGAAGATCCTCCTGTGCGTACTGAGTTTCCGGAGACGTGGCTCTGGACAGAAACAACCGTCGGGTAATTTTGTCCACACTAGCATATTTTATGTGACAAATAACTGTTAAAACTACTGAAGTTTCAGAATGCTGCTGCACGTCTAATTTTTAACATCCGATCCTCTCATACTCACACATCACATCTTCTCCGGGAAATTCACCGGCTGCCTTCACATGTTGTACAATTGATTTTTCTAAAGACACAAAAAACATATTTGATGAAAAAGAAAAGGGAGCGGTTAATGAGATACAAAAAATTGAATATGTTTTAAATGTTCAAAAAGCGGTTAATGAGTTACATATTTTTTTCCTTGATTCTGGCATTAATTCTTTTAAAAAGTATCGGACATACTTTAGAAGTACTGAAATAAGAAGCATACAACATCTTTAGCAAACATGACCCCTATATTTTGCCTTACGGTACAAATCAAGTGAATTTTAATTTTTTTTTACATTTTCTATTTAAAAGTGAGACTGTATGCAGTTGTTTTTGAGTACAACTTACTGTAATAAAAAAGTCAATGATCTTAATATTTGTATTCTTATACTTGTGAAATGTCAACACAAGAAAAATTACAAGGGTTATTATTTTCCAGTGCCTAATTATGCTCAGTAATAACAAAACCAAACAAAGGAATAGTGACCCGTGTTTTCTATCGGCAGATTCATTGGTATTTTTTAATTTTTATTTTAGAGAGGATGGAACTGTTTCCATCACCGCCAAAGTTCCAGATACCATCACGTCTTGGATTGGAAGTGCCTTTGCATTGTCCAGTGATACAGGACTTGGAATTGTGCCAACTACATCAATGGTACATTCGTCCATCCTTTATTATCTCCTAATCTTCCTTCTATTCCAATTTTCCTTTTACTGTTGTAAAAATACCATTATGTAAGATACGTAAGGAAGCATAGATATTATACAGATTAAGCAAAAGTAACCCAATTTCCATAGTGTTTCTTTACTAATTCTTAGTCAACTTTTATTTTAGATACTATCATTAATGACACACTGGCAACTCTATTTAATATTTTGAAAAAAAAAGAAAAAAAAAGGTTATTTTATGTTTCAATAAGTTATTAGGGGGACACCTTTGGGACCAAAAAGAAGTGTCCCCTTGGCCATAGTGTTAAAAGATATACTTCCTCTTGTTTCGGAGCCAAAAAATGTTCCCTAAATAGGGATGTCCCCTTAATACCTGTATTCTAAATGAGGGGTTCCACTGTACTGTGTTAGCTTTCAACTGAAAATCTGAACAAAAGAAAAAACATATTTTTGGCCAATTAACAGAAATTTTAAAAATACTAGTAGTCTTTGGTATATCAAGAACACTTTTATATTCAAAAATGATTTTTCACTTCTCCAAGTTTGAAAGCAAAGAATAAGCTTTACTAAATGGGTGGTTCCCAGTACATGGTTGCATAAATCAAATTGCACCAGGTAATATTTCATTAGGAATATATTAGTAGTAATATTAGAAATTACCTGTTTTTATGTGAAAACAGCCAATCTTTTTATCTTTAGGGTTTCTCTTTCTAGTTTTTATGTGAAAAATAATAATTGTTTTAATATTTAGTTGAATTCATATGTACCTGTTGATTGTATATGATTGTCCAATTTGTTAAATCTATAAATGTCACTATATCACTATGAATAAATTGTTAATTATTTTATCTCATTTTTAGGTGACAGTTTTCAAACCTTTCTTTGTCTCCTTAAACCTACCTTACTCAGTGATTCGAGGTGAAACCCTAGCATTGGAGATTTTAGTCTTCAACTATCAAACCACAGATATTACTGTGAGTAGATCTGAATTTATATTTTTAATTTCTCTTTGACATTTAAAATAATTATTCAGATTGTTTAAATAAATATTCATGGTTGTGTCTGACTTGCAATTGTTCAGGTTGTTTATTCTATCATACTCAAGTGTTAACAGACTTCATAAATAGAATTCACCAATTTCTGAAAGTTATAAGTATGTTTCATATTTGTTTGTTCTAATGTCTTGAATAATGTATGTTTTCAGGAAACTAGTACTAAATGTCTGACATTATGTTTATAAAAAAAAAAAAAGTAATAACAGGCAGATTGTTATTTAGTATTTTTTTTTTGTATTGTTTTTAATTGTGTTGTGTTTTTAAGGAAATAATGATAGATAGCAATTTAAAGCCTTATTAATATTTTTGTTGATAAAAATATAATTGCATGGAGGAAAACATTATACTGGGATTAGACAGTGTGCTACAGGCACCCCCAACAACCAAGCCACATGCTTCCAATTTAAGCATCTATCTTCAATTACAGTGTGGTATACTGGCTAGTAGCATAGTGCATTGGACATTTTGAATGTTTCTTTTTAAATCACACAGGTATGTAGCTATGGTGGGCAGGGCCACCCAGCCTTGAAGATTTCCAACTAGTCTCAAGCTAATTCCATGGCCCTCTACACCCACACTTATTAGCCCACTTTTCCATCCTTAAAATCCACTTTTATTATTTAGAGCTTACCAATGTTATCACCCACACTTAGTTTTCTACAGCTACTGTCACATAGTCATTTACAGCTACAGTCAAAAACTTCATATTCTTGTTTGTATAGATCATTTTTATATATTTGTTGTTAGGCTGAGATAATCCTTCACAAATCTGAGGATTTTGATAATATTGAATTCCAAACAAGCAACAACATTGCGGACAAATTCAACGAGGTTTATGTTAGCAAGGATCAGGTAAGTTATATTTGTTATCATTACTGGTAATGTCAGTAATAACTTTAATTCATTTGTATGTCGTCATCATGGTCTTAATCATTATATTCATAAATCATTGGTTAAGGCAGTTTGTGCAGCGGTTTCCAATTTGCTTATTGAACTTCAGGAGTTCAAACCACACACTGACCATAATTTAGCCGGTCAGGCTTAGATATACCCCAACTTGCATCATATCGTTGACTGACTGTGAAGTGGCTTAAGCCATATTTCAGCCCTAGGTTCAAGCATTTCATGGCATATGAATATAATAGTTAACTAAGAAGTGGCTTTCGGACCTTGTTTGGGGTGAATAAAAATAAAATTTAAAAAAACCATACTTGGTCATTTATTCTGTTTCTTATTCTTCCTGCAGGTCGTGAGAACAGCTATTCCTGCCGGAGGTGGTGTGTCAGTTTCTTTTCCCATAATTCCCAAGGAATTGAAGTTGATGGACATTCATGTGTCGGCGCAGTCATCAACCGCCAGAGATAGTGTCATTAGACAGCTTTTGGTTGAGGTAATTTGCAGATTCAATGGAGGTCCTCCTCACCCTAATGGCTGTCTCTTATACACATCTAGATGTGTATAAGAGACAGTGTGTGCTGTGTGTATAGTATGAGCAC